CTACATCCGCGTCCTGGGAAAGATGATAAACTACATCTGACAGCAAGGCCTCTGAGGTTTTGAAGAGCATGGAACCACCTCTTAACTGCTGGTGTTCCCAGGTTCCTCCCTGATCTGGGGTGATAGCATTTGTTAGAGTCCCAGCTATGGGAATATAGTTAATCCCAAACATGGATCAAAACACTATGAAAGTGTAAAAATAGGTTTTAATACCAGCAATACATTTTTGTAAAAAATTATTACTGGCAATGAATTTTGAAGAAAACATTACCAGCAATACATTTTTGGAAAATAAAATATTAGCAGCAATACACTTTCGGAAAAAAAATATTACCAGCAATAAAAATCTTGTTGGCATTAAATAATCCATTGAGGTTGATATGCTGTAAAACAAAGCAAATCAAACCAACTTTGAAAAGGTAATTGTCAAATTCATGCCATGATCAAATTTTAGCTAATTCCCCTGTGAAAAGCATGAAACAACTTTTACATGCATTGATAATTAATAGAGAAAAGAGTGAGTCAGTGAGTGTGTGAGTGAGTGAGTGAGTGTTCAGTTGGGCAAACCATTCCCTCATAATTACATTCTGTCCATGTAGCAAAGACTATCTTATCCCATTTAATTCTACTGAGTTAATTCATCCTTGTGATGTTACTTGTCTCTTATCAGAATATGTATATATATTTTGCTTGACCCAACTTAGGGATTCAACTAATAGCAACCTGATCTACTTAACCAATACTTTTATTCACTAGGGAATGTGCCCCATTGGACAATTTGGTAGTGCAAGCTTTAAATTTAATGTCACCTGTCTGCTTCTTCAACTGAACTAGTGTATATCACTTTGAACTATCTTTCCGGTAATTAGGTGGTGAAAGTTTTGTGTATTCCTTAATTAAAGACTCCTATATGGTGTTTATTTCTATGCTAGTTCTACTGAGAGGGTTTCAGTTACTTCCTCTTATAATGCTGTTCACTACTTCTTTTCAAAGGAGGCAGTGGTCTCCACTTTTTCCTCCACTCATATATGTGACAGAATGTATATAAATTTTGTTTGGGGCAATTCAAAGTTTTTTTTTGTTTATAACTAAATATAACTGTAAATCAGCACACAGCCTATAATGCAAACATTCTTATAGAATTGTAATATATATATATATATATATATATATATATATATATATATATATATATATATATATATGTGTGTGTGTGTGTGTGTGTGTGTGTGTGTGCATTTATTCCATTGTATATAATCCAAGTGAATCTTAAAAGTATAAAAAGTATTAAAACTGATCCACAAAGAAAACTCTATTTAATGAAGTTGTGTTTCTGAAACCATCATCTTGTTATATTCCTTTTCCATTTGGACATAAAATTATCTTTTTTCTTCTTGCATTTTTTGGGGTTTACTTTAATGTTGGGAATTATTTTTCATCTCATTCTTGCTTCTTTGATCCTTCATCTTTGCTCATCTTTCATTTTAAATATTAAAAATTATTTTTAAAACCTGAATGCTCAGTTCTATTTTAAAACTTTCAAGTAACTGCAAATGAACTAATACATTAAAAAAAAGTGCACATACACACATACACACACACATGGTAATTTTTTAAATTGGCCTAAAAACTAGGTGTTTTGTGCTTTAAATATGAGAAAATTATTATACATGATGAAAAAAAAGTGAAACATTATTTTTTATTAGAAATGTTGTCATGACAAATAGAAAGATAGCATTTTATGATTAAATTTTGCTCTTGTCAAAATATCCCCGTTTATCCTTGCAGCACAAATTTTTGGCATTGGTTGCAAAAATTACTCGAATTATAAGTTTGATAATTGATTCCATTCTTTTTTCAATGACTCTAAGAACTCGTTTTTATGTTTTTTACTCTTCTGTCAAGTTCATCTCATGTCCATTCTAGGAGTGGCTTCAAACTTTTGAACTGTAGTATATATGCAGTAAAACATTGATCTTCTGCAGCTTGATTTAGTGCAGAAGCTGTAAACATTGGATTAGGGTTAATTTTGTCTTTATTTTTACTAATATATTTTTATTAAAATTCTAATTTAGTGCAATTGTTTTTTTTCATAACATTTTTATGGATCTCAATTTCTGCACTACAATGATAATGATAATATTATCCGTTTTCTTATAAGGAAACATTTGCCATTCATTGACTGCAGGGTTGGTGAAAAGGTCTCATGAGTCCCCCCTGCCACTGAATCTATGCTACTCCCAAATCTATGATACAGAGCCCTCTACATCTCAATTTCCATAAGGTAGTATTCATATAAAATACAAATTTTATTGTAACCTAATTATGTACAATAATGGATCATATTCAATAGAGGTGAACAATTCAAGTAGAAAAATTGAAAATAAATACAATGTATCTAAATACAAATTAGAGACATGTCATAAAAATTTCATTCCATTTTAAATAAATCAACAATGTTTTGCCATAATTTTTAACATCAACTTTTTTCTTGTTAAAAAGTTGAATAATTTTAGTACATTCAACATTGTGGATAAAAAATAGGGAATTTTATATCATGTTTTGTCGAGACTTTGTATGAGAAAAAAACATTCAAAATGACCTCAGAATGACATAAAAATCTGCAAAAATGTTTCATCCTTTAATAGTCAATTGTGTTTAGTTTAATTTGTAACATATATAAAATGTAGATAAGAAAAAAGCAAATGTTGATAAGATAGCCAGGTCGACAAATCAATACCATGGTTCCTAATCATTGGGGAATTGGTCATATGGGGTTTCATTGCCTAATTAAGCATTCCCCTAACTTTTGTTCAGCCAGTGCTATTGTTTTCAATTTATTTTTCAACATAAATTATTCGGACTATTGTCCTCATCTTTGTCACCATATTTATTATAAAGTTTCAACCTTTGTTGCTCCGCCTTCTTCAGGTGGTTGGAATATCGAACTGAACCTTTTATTTTGCTTACTGGGGTAAACATTTAAGTTCCACATTTTTTCATGGATGTCAGTTATCAGTTATCTCCTGTTAATTTCCCTCTGCAAGTTCTCCACTGCCTTAACCGGGTATTGAACTCATGCTTTTTGGGTCCTGTCACTGGATCTAACCAACACCTTTATCCACTGTGCCATGTGTCCTTGATATTTTTCACTTAAAACAATTTTTCACAAAAATAGATTTCTCAAGTCCAGTAGCTATTATTACTTTTTCCAGTATTAGCAGGGGATTTTCTTTCCTAACCTTTTGTTTGAAGTAGTGTGGAACATCAACAACTTGATTATGTTATTATTTTCTCTTTGAGTTACATGTGTTATACATTTTAGTTGTTGCCACTGTTGGAAGTCATCAAGTGATGTGATTTCTTAATATATGAAAAGGGATCAATAAGTTGGTAGCCAGTTATATAGTTACTAGCTGAATGTTGATCTTAAATTTACATTATATAATGTTCAATATTTGTGATTTATATTTACAACTGAATTAAGTGCATTTACAAGGAAGGAGATTTTGTTGAAAAATAAATATCAGTTATGTAATATAAATGTTTTTTTTTAATCATTGGCTGCAGACTTATTGAAGTATCTATGTATGTATAGAGACAAACCTCTCATCAACGGACTAATAGGGGGGGTCCATTAAAGCTGATTGTCTATAGATGGGAAGCAATTATTTTTGAGTTATAAAACCACTATAGTAACTAACAGTAGTTATGATAATAATGTAAATACTATAAACATGTATATATGGTATAAATAAATATATACTTAATATAGATAAATTAATCAAAATAACAAAAATAATAGATTTCTCACAGCTACTTTCTCATGCATGTGCTAATGTATCGTACTTTATATACTGTACACCTATCTTTGTGTGTAATTAAAAGGCCAGCCACCACTGTGAAGTGGTCACTTTGAGAGATAATATAACTTATTCCGCTAAGCCTGTAAATTTTGAAATACATTGCTGATGATTTGGAAGTTTTTTTTTTATTTTGCTTGCAGATTTTGTCTATTGCATCTGAAGGTCTGTTGATAGGGGTTTGTCTGTATATGATTTAAATTTTAGAATTTATTTTGGTATAATGACTAGCAAGTTTATTTTTCAGCTTTATTTAGATTTAGTATATTAAATTTGACCTTGTCTGTGTTTGTTTTTTATTATATATCATTTTTTTTAAAATTCATTCCAAAAATATATATATCATTGCATATATGTTTGTTCCTGTCATGCCAAATGTTGAAGTTCAAAGTGTATGCTTTAAATGCTGATTTTTTGGCATTTAGCTCGGGACACACATAATGCTCCCACTGTGATAGTTTCTTAATTGGTATTGTATGAAACTAAGCTAAATTTAAAAACTATTTCTTTTTAAATGACTGCAGATAGGCTTGGATATAAATCTATGTGTTCACACATGTGTGTGCATATGCTTTGTTTTGTAGATCTACTAAGGTTAGTATGTTTGTACATAGTGTATATTTAGACATTGCAGGTCAAAGGCTTTTCTATGGTGTGTATATCTATATCATACGATGTGTGTATTTATATAATGGTCCTTTATATATAAACCTAAACGCATGACATTGTACACACATGCCTCTCATCTACAATATATATATATATATATATATATATATATATATATATATATATATATATATATATATATGTCTACAGTGTTTATACTTATGTATGTCCCAATGGAGGAAGGTGAACAAAGATAACTGTTGAACTGATAGATAAAAAGATGAAAGATCTCTCAATGCCAGCTGATTAGTAATCAAAGATTAAATCTATCTTTAATAACACATTGCCGACTTTTTTTTCAAGATGCAGACTATAAACCCTGTGTCTTGTACTCTCTGCTTTTCTTCTTATATCACTTTTCATTCTTTTTGATTTCCTTTTCCATTTCTTTTTTTTTTGCTTTTTACTCATTTTTGTTCTATTTGCTGAGTTTTTTCTTGTTGTTGTTGTTGACTTACACTACACTACATGTTTTTATTTTTCCTTCTCATTTTCAGCCTTTCACATCCCTTTTCTATTTTTCTCTTTTCCATTTTTTCTTTCACTTCTCTCTCCCTCCCCGCCCACTATCACTTTTTATGTCTTTTTCTCTGTCTTCTTTTCCTCCTCTCTTTCTATTCTCCTTTTCCATTTCATTTTTTTTTTTCAATTCTTTTCGCCCTCTTTTCTTTATTTGTTTCTCTCCTTATTCTCACTTTTCGTCCGCTCTTCTTCTCCTCCTCCTCCTCCTCCTCCTCCTCTTTTCTCTTCTCTTTTTCTTTTTTCTCTTCTTTTCCTCTTGTTTTTCTTTTTTTTTCTTCCTTCTTTTCTTTTCCTACCTCTTTTCTTTCTCACTTTTTCTTTTTCTCTTTTATTCACTTCTTTTCCTCTTTCTCATTCTCACCTTCTAACCCCTCTTTTAATAAAATAGGATTTTTTCCTTTCGCTCCTTTCTCTCTATTCTCTCTCCTTCTCTCAGATTTTCATTCTCCTCTTTCTTTCTAATCTATTTATATCTTATTAATATATCAGCCACAAACATTTAATCTCTTCTTTAACATTTCTTTAGTAACAATAACACTAAACTAAATAAAAACAGGCAACTATTTGTCTGCTACAAATTAGTCCATCCTTTAAGTAATAATCAACTTTCCTTTTACTAATAAATAATCAGTCTATTTTGTTTTTTGTTTACCTTATTTTAATATCACCTTTCTTCAGTCATCCTGTGTAACTTTTTAACGGTACCCCTCATAATTTTTTTATTTGCATACCATCTTTACTTTCTTTTTACCTTTCTTTCTCCTCTCTAATTGTTTTTTCCTCTTTCTTTTTATTCACTTACCTGTTCTATTATTACTCTCTCTCTCTGTATCCACCTCTTCTCTTCTATTGTTACTTTTTCTCTCTTACCTTCTCTTTCTCATAGACATGCATTTCTCTTTCTCTCTCCCGAATTTGTGAAAAATTTGTCTTTTGCCGTGAACCTTTTTCATAAATCTGTCCTCCTCTCTCCCCCATTGTTTTTTCCTTCCAAGACTCTCTCTCTCTCTCTCTCATAGACAAACCCTACTCTTTCTCTTTCTCTCTCCATTGTTTGCCTTCCTCTCATTATTTTCCTCTCTCTCTCTTCCAGACATGCCCTTCTCTTTCTCTCTGCATTGTTTTCCTTCCTCTATTATTCTTTTCCTTTCTCTCTCTCTCACTCTCTCATAGACAGGCTCTTCTCTTTCTCTTTGCATTGTTTTCCTTCCTCTCTTATTCTTTTCTTCTCACTCTCTCTCATAGCTTTCATACCTTTCTCTTTCTCTCTCTTCATTGTTTGCCTTCCTCTCTTTATTCTTTTCTTCTCTCTCATAGATATGCTCTTCTCTTAAATTTCTCTCTCCATTTTTAGAGATCCTCTCTTTATTCTTTTTTTTTTCCTCTGTCTCTCACTCTTTCTCATAGACATGCCCTTCTAGATAGATCCCATTGTTTGCTTTCCTCCATTGTTCGATTTCCTCTTATTCTTTTAAATCTCTCTCAAAATCTCTCATACACACCTTTCTCTTTCTCCCTCCATTGTTTGCCTTCCTCTCTTATTCTTTTCCTCTCTCTCATAGACATACCTTTCTCTTTCTCTCTCTTCATTGTTTGCCTTCCTCTCTTATTCTTTTCTTCTCTCTCATAGATATGCTCTTCTCTTACTCTTTCTCTCTCCATTGTTTGCCTTCCTCTCTTATTCTTTTCCTCTCTCTCATAGATATGCTCTTCTCTTACTCTTTCTCTCTCCATTGTTTGCCTTCCTCTCTTATTCTTTTCCTCTCTCTCATAGATATGCTCTTCTCTTACTCTTTCTCTCTCCATTGTTTGCCTTCCTCTCTTATTCTTTTCCTCTCTCTCATAGATATGCTCTTCTCTTACTCTTTCTCTCTCCATTGTTTGCCTTCCTCTCTTATTCTTTTCCTCTCTCTCATAGATATGCCCTTCTCTTACTCTTTCTCTCTCCATTGTTTGCCTTCCTCTCTTTATTCTTTTCATCTCTCTCTCACCACTCTCTCTTGTAGACATGCCTTTCTAATCTCTTTTTATCTTTGCTTCACTCTATACTGACTCCCTCCATTACTGCTGTTCACTTTTATTTTAACTCAGTTTTCTTTTTCCTTTTACAAATTTAGCTTCCCACTTTTTTTGCCTTTTAATTTGTTTTCAACATCTCCTTCCCCAGTAAACTCTGGAAGGAATATTAAATTAGGTAATAGTCATTTAAGATTTGCCTTCTCAAGAGATTAAGCAAGAAATTTAAGAAAATAGATGAAGGTGTATAGAAAAATATTTGAATTAGAAAAAAAAAAAAGTAAAAGTAATATATATATATATATATATATATATATATATATATATATATATATATATATGTTTGTATATTTTACCTGTATATATATATATATATATATATATATATATATATATATATATATAAACAAACAATCTGAAGAATAATAAAAAAAAAAAATGAGTGTTTACTAAAAAAAACACAAACCGGTAAAGATTTAAGCCAAAATAAAAACAGCAAACATATACACATACAGACAGACACAGACACACACACACATAGACTGGAGACAGGAAAGAAGTCAGAAGAATCTAAACAAGCATACATATTCTTTTATATATATATATATATATATATATATATATTATAATATCTTATGCATTGATGCACTGTTTTTAAACATGAGAACAAAATACTAAAATACTTTGTATCATCAATCTAACAGCTCTTTCCTATTATATCAATATATGTGCACACACACACACACACACACACACACACATATGCCTTTTGTACAAAAATGCAATAATGCACAAATAATTAGAAAATGATTAAAATGCAATAATTAAATAGAATGTAATTTACTAGCTAGTGTAGTGTAGTGTAGTGATTTTGATTCTCACTAGGTGCTCTACAATTGTGAACTTGTGCCATACAATTTAAAGAAATAAACACAAATACTCAAATGATATATATATATATATATATATATATATATATATATATATATATATATATATATAGAGGCATATATCATGCAGACACAAGACATGCACATTTTCAATATATTTTAGATTACAAAGTAAATAACTCAAGAGAAATTTGAACGGATTCCTTCCGTACGTTTGTGTGAGTGTGTGTGTGTGTGCGTGCAAATGTTTAGATATTTTATTGCATACAATGTTTATGTATGTATGTATGTATGTGTGGGTGTTTGAATAGTTATATGTATGTGCATATATGGGAATCTGTGGGCATTAGAATGTGTACAAATTATTACTTTTGAAGATACAGGAAATAATACAAAAAACATGTATGTATTGTTATTTTTAAATTTATTACATATATATATATATATATATATATATATATAAATGCTCGTATATACATATGTATTTATATATACACACACACATATATATATACATATGTATATATATGCAAATATATATATATATATATATATATATATATATGTATATACATATATATATACATATATGTATGTATATATATATACATATATATATACACACACACACACACACACACGATGTGTGTGTGTGTGTATTGTGTGTATATGTGTCTGTTTAAACAATAAACCAAGAGAGAAAAAAACTCTTTTCTATTAAATCAAAAAATTAAAATATCCTAAAAAAAAACCAAATAGTCTTTTACTGAAAGAGAATAAATAAGATGGTGTTAGAATAAATAAAATAAATTTCAGATAAATAAGTTGGTGTTAAAACGAAGGTAGACAAAAAAATAAACAAATTAATAAAGAAGACAGTGGGAAGTTTTGGTGTGGAGTGGGGCTGATGGGTAGAGTGTGAGTGTGTGAGGTATTGGCAGAGACCTGTTGGTGGAGGTCAGGGTTGCAAAGGTAAGTACAGAGTTTTTGTAGAGAGTGCAAACAGAATTTTACATGTAGATGAACTGAGGAGAAAGGCATTTTGGTAAAAGAGAATAAAAAAAAATTCTATAATAAATAGCTTTTCTGCAGGTGCTTCCTTAGAATGGAAGAAACCTTGAATGGTAAAAGAGCAAATGCAAAGAAACGCTATTGAGGATAGCAGCACCAAAGTTGGTAAATGAGAAGGTTTTGAATATACATTAAATACTCGCAGATATTTTATCTATAATGCCATTTTGTTTAACAAAATGAATCAAAAAGAAATTTCAAAGAGGACATGAAATATTTAATCAACAACTATTCCTCTAATTTACTATTTAACTTAATGTTCTTTTGTCTACTAGCAAGCTACCAATTTACAGTCTTGTATGGCACTCAATGTTTGACAAGGATGTTAATATCTGTCTATATTTCTGAGATGAGGTATTATGTACACTATTTACATTATTCGAACTATTGTCCTCATCTTTGTCGCCATATTTATTACAATATTTCGGACCTTCAGTATGTGTCTATATTTCCGAGATGAGATATTATGTACACTATTTACATTATTTGGACTATTGTCCTCATCTTTGTTACCATATTTATTACAACATTTCGGCCGTTGTATGCTCTGGCCTTCTTCAGGTGGTTGGAATGTCGAACTTAACCCTTTATTTCGCTCATTGGGGTAGATGAGGACAATAGTCTGAATAATGTAAATAAGGATGTTAATATTTACATGAGCTACATTTCTTAGTTCCACTAGTTCAGACCTTTACAGCTGGGACCTGCCACACTGCATACACATGCTCACCTCATCATTATTCATCTTAATTTCTGTCTAAATTTCTGGGATGAGGTGTTATCATTATTTACACTATTTATATTTGAACTATTGTCCTCATCATTGTTTTTATTATCACAATGTTTTGGTCATTGTGCTTTCTGGCCTTCCACATGTATATATCAATCTTGGTAATCTACAGGGTATTCTGAACTGAAATAAAAATAGATTGAAATTAAATAAAGGGTTCAGTTCAGAATTTCCTGTAAGTTACTTGATGAAGGCTGGAAGATATAATGACTGAAATGTTGTGATAACAATAACAAAAATGAGGATAATAATCTGAATATAAATAGTGTAAATAATCATTCTCCTTGTATTCTATTGGTAAAGAGAAAATTCCACACAGAACTATTACTTTGTGGAACAGACTCCTGAGGAGGTACTTCCCCAATCACTATGATCTTTACTTCTTCAAAGGTCAACTGTTATGTGATTCTACAGAAGGATACTGAGAATTCCATCGACAGAACAAGTAATAAGGAAAAGTCATAAAGAAAATAGTAACAAAATGGACACTTATACTCAAACTCTGAAAGAGACAGCTGAATTTTTTTGAACACAATGAGGAAAGAGGGCTTGGAAAACTTAATCCTAACAAGGAATATCAAGGGCAAATGTGATAAGGCAAGACAGTGGGTCACCTATCTGAGGAGCATCTATAAATGGATAGTGGAATGGTGGGAGGAGGCTTCACAAAGAAAGAAACACTGCTAAGGGCCACA